CCACTTCCCTGGGCAGCCTGTTCCAGTGCCTGACTACCCTTTCGGTGAAGAAGTTTTTCCTAATATCCAACCTAAACCTCCCCTGGCGCAGCTTGAGGCCGTTTCCTCTCGTCCTATCGCTTGTTACTAGGGAGAAGAGACTGACCCCCACCTCGCTACAACCTCCTGTCAGGTAGGTGTACACAGCAATAAGGTCTCCCCTCAGCCTCCTCTTCTCCAGACTAAACAACCCCAGCTCCCTCAGCCGCTCCCCATAAGACTTGTGCTCCAGACCCTTCACCAGCTTCGTTGCCCTTCTTTGGACACGCTCCAGCACCTCCATGTCCTTCTTGTAGTGAGGGGCCCAAAACTGAACACAGCACTCGAGGCGTGGCCTCACCAGTGCCAAGTACAGGGGCACCATCACCTCCCTGGTCCTGCTGGCCACACTATTCCTGATACAAGCCAGAATGGCCCTCTTGGCCACCTGGACACACTGCTGGCTCATGTTCAGCCAGCACCCCCAGGTGCTTTTCTGCCAGGCAGGTCTCCAGCCACTCCTCCCCAAGCAGATTTGGATTTATGGCTGGATTCTGTAAAAGGCCTAGAAATGGCATTTCACATGTTGTCTTGGAGGCATCACCCTCTCGGATTGCCTCTCAGCTCATGTTCTAGCATGTCAGTCGTCTGGCTCGTTTTGATTTTTCCTGTGAACAGGACAGATGGCCTGTCACTGAGAGATACTAGCAGAACGAAATGTTCAAACTGACAGTTAATATCATACAAGGGGGGGTATCTTACAGGGGTTCCCCTGTGCAGAGCTTGATGAAAGGATAGTAAGGGCAGGAGGCGGTCTGAGCGGAAGCTACTTGAAACCAGCAGAGAGCATCAAAAGTAAAAAAAAAACAAAAAAAAAGCCACCTGCTGCATATCCCTTTAACTATAGAAAACACAACATAAGAACATTAATATTTTATTATTCATTAATACATTACAAATGTAATATTCATTAACACAAGAATGTTAATAATAATGCACTTTCAGAAAGGACTAAAATGTACAAAGATTACTTTTTACCCTGAGTCACTGTTTAGCATGGAAACACAGTAAGTAGAGACTGAGCTTTGTAGAAAGACTGAGAACATCCTTCACCATATCGATCACTTGCTAGTTTCATTGTTCCAAATGAAAAAAATCCATCAAATTTCTCTTCTATCATTCACCTCATGTAACCAAATACAAGCTACACAAATCTATGAAAAATACTCTACTGAGGTAGACATACGAACCAGCATCTCATACCAAGACAACAGAGTTAACAACCAACCCGCCTGAGAGCGAAGCTCTGCTGAACAGAAGCTTCTACCCTAGAAACCAGAGGTAGGGTCTGTACGTGGGGCACAGCTGAGGTATGACATGCACCAAGGAGCAGATGTAGACAGTGACGTTCAGGCTACACGGTGGAGGGATACCAGGGAAGTGTCCCTATAGATTATGGGGAAAACAAAAGAGACTTATTTTCCTAGTAATAACTATTGAGAACTTTAATACAGGCACTTTACAACGTGACTGCCAGAAACCACTATAGTTCCTGTCTTGGGCAGACAAATGAAGTTCTTCACCCGGAGCGATGTTTGTGCGCACCACATCTGAGAAGTCCCGGTGGATAATGAGAGGTAAAAAGGCAGCCAAAAAGGATAAAAGCGCCAAAATAAACCCTTCTCACAAAACAGACAAGGGAGAGTCCTCCCAAGCCTTTCACCAAAGACACTTTCAGGATCAGGTGTTTTATGTCACCTGTATCATCTTTTCTCTCGCTCCCCTTCAGATGCCCTGTACATTAAAACAAGTTATTTGTGTTGAAAATAAAATACCCTCTTTTTTTTGTAATGGTATGCATTTCACTGAAACCTCAGAACTTTTACTCCACCCCATGTAAACAGAAGCATGTCTGAAATGACTTATACGTTCCTTTGAGACTTGATTTAATTTATGCACCTCTTGAAGTCTGCTGACTGTTTCCAAACACTCTACTAATAAGGGAAAAGCAGTTTCTTGTCACCACTGCGAAGTCTCTCATTTCACCTGAAAATCCAACCAGCTGCAAATCACTGACAGAATTTTGCTATCTACTGAGACAAAGGGAAATGCAACCCCCACCAAACTGGAGGAAAATATCTTAATTCTCCAGCAAGTTAAACAAGAAGACGGTAAACCACAGGATGAAGTAAACGCCGAACAAACCTGGTATTTGACCCCAGCCTAGAACGTGTAGACTCTCAAGATGAGCCTCTCCTCAGTTTTCAGCTGTGCCAAGGAAAATTATGGTTTTTTCCCACCCTTGATACGCAATCTGCCCTTTTTAAGCTTCCTGTCCACTTGTTCTAATGTTTAAGCCTTCCGGTTCACCCTTCTCAGCTATAGAGCTATCCTTGTTCCTGGTCTCCTTGAAAAGTCCTTCTCCAAAGTCTGCTCCTGCCCTGGAGCCATCGCTCTTCAAAAAACGTTTGTCTAAAAGCAGTACACTTATGTGCAGAGCAAACAACAGCCTGGGTTTTATCTGAATTGGGAGGTAAATACCTCCCAGTACTAACTAACCTACTGTTGTTCGCTTGACCCTTCTTTCTTAAAAAGCCTAATTCAGGAAAGTGGGTTGGCTTCAGCTCACTTAAGAGAAGACAGATGACTTTGTAGTAAAAATGTAATACATGTATGCTAAATATATAAGTAGGATGTTGTATTTGCATTTAGTTTTGCTATCTTTCTCAAGCATGACGGAAAGAGCGCTATGACGGACAGCTTCCATGTTTTTCTATTAGGATAGGAAGGAGATGTTAGGAGGTTTCCTATATGAAAGAAGAAATAACCCTTGACTCCTG